AGGGGGTGCAGAAAGTGGAGGGGGTATGGGGAAAGGGAAGGGGATATTGAGAGGGGAAAGGAAGAGTGAAGGAGGAACAGGGAGTGGGAGAGGGGGAGGGATAGGAAAAGGGAGAGGGGTGGCGCGGGGAGAGGGAGGGGGAAGGAGGATGTTGAGAAAGGGGATGGGGATATGGGGAAAGGGAAGGAGGTATGGGGAAACAGATTTTGTTTCGTTACTACATAATCTCCCGCGACGGCCGAGAGGGAATAAGCGGCGGATAAAAGACAGAAAAACTACATAATCGTTGTGGAGAATGGTTCCAGCGCTATGTATTAAGAAAAATGTAGTCTATCCATCCATCAATCTGTCTGGGCAAGAGATACCTACCTTTAAATGTTTACTTATCAACCACAAAGAAAGGAAAAACGGAGAAGGATTATATTCTTTTTTCTACATTAACCCCACCCCTCCCTCTCTCAATGTAAAGAAGGGCTGAATGAGATTTCTAGAACACCACCGTTCCCACTACCCGCACTTAAGATTCCATGCTAAAGTAAAAACCATCCGTCTGTCTATCCGTCTGCCCGTCTGTCCGTCTGTCTGCTTGTCAGTCTGTCCGTCTGTCAGTCTGTATGTGTGTCTGTGTGTTCGTCCGTCCATCCGTTAGTCATTAAGTGTGTCTGTGTATGTGTCTGTCTATCTGTCTGTCTGTCTGTCTATCAGTTCACTCACCCTTCAGACATGTCTCCGCGTTGTCTGTGTGTCTGTGTGTGTGAGTGTCTGTGTGTTGATGTGTTCATATGTCCATCCGTTTGTCTGTTTGTATGTCTGTCTGTGTGTGTGTGTGTGTCTGTTTGTTCACTCACACTTCAGAATAGTCTACGCGGTGTCTGCATGTGTGTCTGTCCGTCTGTGTGTCCGTCTGTGTGTCCGTCTGTGTGTCTGTCCGTCTGTGTGTCCGTCTCTGTGTCTATTTGTCTGTCTGTCTATTCACTCACCCTTCAGACTAATCTCGGCGGCCTCACAGGCTCCCGTGAGCACGGCCTTGTAGATTGACCTC